AACGAGGCCGCAGAAGAACCTGATACAACTGAAGAGCTTGAACCAAAGTCATCCTAAAGATAGAATATTAAAATCTAGATTTTAGAATATTCGTTGTTTTTCGCAGATTTTATTTAATAGTATTGATTTCAAAAAGCCATTCTTTTTTTGAGAGTGGGCATGCCCTTTTCTCAAATCCTTTTTCCGAATGATGATAATTGAAATAACCTTCGTTTTCTCTTGAAAAAATTATTATTATTCTCTTAAGAAGCAGATTTGTGCTCATTGTATATAAAGATGTGCACGCTCTCACGCTAAAATTACAAATACTCCTTTTAAACTTAATCTAGGGACAATCGTGTTTCATTTAAAATGATTATGCCTAAGGCTACAAAAAAGTATAAGTGAATTGGTGAGGTAAAACAAAAGGTAAGGATTTCTAAAAAGGAATTGAGTCTTTGCCACAAACTCTGCTTTTCCAATCTCTATTTAAAACTATGAATTCTAATAGATCAAATAATCTAAGTTTAAAATATCAAAGGTTTACACCACCAGGTCTCGAAGATGAAGGGATAAGAAAATTTGAGTTTGCGGCAAAGACTCAGTTCCTTTGATGGCTAACTTTCAGAGTTGTCTATAATCTCAGTGAGCTACAGACAAAAAGATGAACTTGCCAGAATTAAGCATGTTTTAAGATATAAATCTTCCTATTTCTTACTCAAATAAAGGTTAGAAAAAGAATGTATAGCCTGCCTGTGAAGATTTGGATGGATGAGTGTGATGACATGAATGGGATGAATGAAGTTGGAAGGATGAGTTCCATGTCCTAGTCTCATCCCAACTACTTCTCTCCCCTCTCCCACACTCACGGCTGTGACTGCCGCCTGAAGCCTGTTAAAAACCTCTTAATATTCAAACTCTGATTTGTTTATCTCTATTTCATTGCAACCAGATGTTGTAGACCTTTGATTTTTCCAACTATAAACTCTGTTAGATCAAATAATCAAAGTTTGTTTACACCACAAGGTTGCAAAGATTAAAGAATTTGACAATTTGAGTTTTTCAGCAAAAACTTATTCACAAGGAGAAAAACAAGCACCCTAAGATGTTTTGAAAAATACAGTTCAATAGATTGACTTCTTCCCAGTGTCGAGAGTATCGACATCATTTCAAATGATCCTCAATTTTAAGCGTTGTTTAAGTTCGATTAACAAGAGTACCCTTTAGTCTTTTATCGGATAAATAATAAGGAAAAAGTCGATGTGTTTCTGTCTTTAAAAGTTTCAATTTCTCTGAATCCCTTCCTTTTCCCATGCTATACAAAAATCCGCAAAAATCTGCATTTGCCATTCGGATCACTTCACGCACGAGGGTGCTAGACTCAGCATCGGAAACCCGTCAGTCGCAGGGTGCAATTTAAACTACAATTCATATTCTGATTGAAACCCAGAAATAACTCAATCATTTTAATCAGTCAAAGGTGAAAGGGTACCCTTGTAAATCGGACATGCCACTATAGATTTTTGAATTACAAGTTCAATTTTAATTGTTTGTTTTTAATTAATTTTTAGTTTTGCTAAAAAATGAACTTTATTATTTAAACTCCAGGGACTAACACTTTCATAAACAAATAAAACTCTGCTGTTTTCAGAGGATTTGAACATATAGCTACTCGCCTCCATTCCAATTCTTATATTTTTGCAACCTGATATCGTAGACATCCGATTTTTCCAAGAATGAGTTGTGCAAGATAATATAGTCAACGTATAAAATATCCAACGTTTACACCATCAGGTTTCAAAGATACAAGAATAATAAAATTAGAGGAATTGAGGGGATTTATTATGTTTTTGTGTTTACATGTATAGGTGATGAGCAGTGTCTTGTTTGTGGAGGAGGAGGAGTAGTATCCACCTCTACTCCTCGTAGCTTCATCTCCTTCTTATACTTCATACGTCTAGAAACATTAATTTACCTGTTTTGAAACCAGATTTTTATTTGTCTTTCAGACAAGTTGAGCATTGCAGCCATCTCTATTCGTCTAAAGTACGTTAATTATAATAAATATTTACATCTGTATAGGATAGTTTTAGTTTAATTTGTTTAAGTTGTTCTAAACTATTTTATCGACTTTACACCAGAGTTTCAGTAGAAGTAAATATTTCCATTTACTGATAGCGCCGATTGAAGGATTCATAACTCTAATTGGATAATGATATAGATAGAAAGATAGATGTTACCGCCATACTATTTCTATTGGTTCAGAATAGACAACCAACACTTGACTGGACTGATTGGATTAGGCGCTAATGGACTCGGCATACAGGGTGTTTAGAGGTGGAAATGAACGACTTTACATGAAAACTTTGCAGATCGGGAAGTAATTTTATTTAATTGTCCCAAGAAACAGTTAAGTAGCTGAAAATCTCGCTGTTGGGGAAATATGGATCGGTACAGTTGGTCAAAGGTGGGTAGCAAGTTATATTTCCAAATAAAAGTTAGTTTTTTCATTCATTATATAAAATAATTTTATGAAATGAACAGAACACTGCCCGCAAACTTCAAGATACTAACCATTGTATATCAAGAACCTGTGTGACTTGTGAGTAAACTTAGGCTTTTTATCTAACTCAATTTCAAAGATATAAAAATTAGAAAAATATACTTTTTTCCCACAAAATATAGGTACAAAAGATCTAGAAATCAATCTTTTCAAGGGCCGGCGTCTGAAACCCCATCTGTCGACGGATGATATCTGAGCTAAAAACTTTAGAATGCAATGTGATATCCTTAATCCCGATCGGTTAATTAATCTGGAACTTAATAACAAGAGGAGAAGAAGCATTATTTAATCTTAAGATTAAGAAAAAGAGAGAATGAAGCATAAATCCCGATATCCACCATTCAAAAGTTCCCAGCTCTGAAAACTTTAGAATGGTGGATATCGAGATAAATCCACTTTTTCTTAATCTCCAGATTAAATATTGCTTGTTCTCCTCTTGTTTTTAATCTCCAGATTAATTATGCAGATTGGGATTAAGGATATCCCATTCTAAAGTTTTCAGCTCTGTTCACCTAGGTCTGCAGAGATATCTGTTAAAATGAAACTCCTTCTCTAACTCGACAAGCTGGGAGGAGGTGTAAGCCGTCCTGGCTCTCTTCCCGCATCCTTCCTGGCTGTCCGGTAGATCAGTGTCTGGAAAGGGAATGTTCAGATATTTGAGGGAAGGGGCAGGAAACAGTGATGCATGCGGGTTTCCATGATTTCTTAGCATCTCTGATTAAAGGATTTGAGTCTCTGCCACAAACTCAAATTTTCGAAAATCCTTATATCTTTGCAACCAAATGGTGTAAACCTTTAATGTTTTAAATTTAGATTATTTGATCTAATAGAATTTATAGTTTGAAATATCTAAAATACTACATTGGGTTGAAAAAGTATAGGAATTGGAAAATCAAAGTGTGTTGCAAAGACTAAATTCCTTTACATATTAAATTTAAAAAATGGTAAAAATTATAAGTCCGGTTTAAGCGCTAGAAAGACAATTTTAAGACTGTTGGTGCAGTATCTTTATAAACTATATAAATTAAGTCCGGTTTAAGCGCTAGAAACACAAACTTAAGACTGTTGGTGCAGTATCTTTAAAAACTATATAAATTAAGTCCGGTTTAATCGCTAGAAAGACAAACGTAAGACTGTTGGTGCAGTATCTTTATAAACTATATAAATTAAGTCCGGTTTAAGCGCTAGAAAGACAAACGTAAGACTGTTGGTGCAGTATCTTTATAAACTATATAAATTAAGTCCAGTTTAAGCGCTAGAAAGACAAACGTAAGACTGTTGACAGTATTGCAAATATAAAGTTCCTTTATGTTTCTAAAAAGGACCCAGTTCAGATTTATTCGAGAAATACTAACATAAATATTTTCTTTTTAAATCTAGAAGGTGAAAAAACAGTGAAGCATAAATTGTAAAACTCAACCGAAGGAATTGAGTGTTATACACAAACTCAAATTTTCTAATCCCTATATTTCTAAAACATGATGGTGTAAACCTTAAAAATTCCAAACTTATATTGTTTAATCTAATAGAATTCATAGTTTGAAATATCTAAGGTCTACAACATTGGGTTGCAAAGATATGGGTAATAAACAAATCTGAATTTTCAGCAAAAACTCATTTCCTTTAAATCGTTATTGGAACTCTTTGAATCAAAATCTCAGTTTTACTTTTCCGTTTTTTTTAATTGCCCGAAGGGACAGTAAAGAAAAAAAGAAAATAGATAATAAAAGAGGAAAAAATGATAACAAAAATAATAAAAAAAGAGTTTTTTGTATGATCTGTTCCCAATATTTTATTTAAAAAAATGATTTAAAAATTAAAATTAAAAATTTTTTCGTTTTTACCTGAATGAGATTCTAGTTTATCTGAGGAGCTCGTCGCCTTTCAATCAAATCAAATTATATAATAATACTAGCTCAAGTACACAGCGTTGCCCGTGGAATTTTTTATATCGAATTTTTAAAAAATTCCGATTTTTGAAAAAAAAATTCCAATTTTTGAAGAAATTAAATTAGAATTTTTGAAGAAAAAATATTCGACTTTTGAAGAAAAAAATCGATTTAAAAAACTGTCAAATTTTTTTGTAAGCCCATGCTAAAATGGATACTAAAATATTTCAGCCCATTCGGTCCAGCCGTTTTGCCAGCTATAGCTGACATAAATATACATTCAAATATATTTATATATGAGCGAAGAGCTTTGATCATATAGATAAAATTCAAGTTCTTTCTACTAATAATAATAGCGTTTTTTTCAATGTAACTCAAACAATTATTTCGGTATTGTAAAAAAGATAAAAATAAAAGAATTCGCAGATTTTTTCTGCTTTCATTGGTGGATTAGCAAACATTTCTTTTTAAATAAAAATTTTATCTTGCCAATTTTTTTATTTTCAACCGACCATACCCTTAATTCTCTAAATACTCTAAAATTCATTACATATTTTGGCCCAATTGGTTCAGCTGTTTTGATGTGCAGTTAATTGTAACAAATAAACAAGCAAATTTGTAAAAAGTTTGAATTGTTCCTGTTGGTAAGAATGTGAGTATTGGCTTCTACTCGATTTACTTTCTCGCATCCAAGGATAGATTGGAGTGTTTAACTTAACATTAAATAAAACTATATTAAATAGCAGAGTTGTTTAGCATTTTTTATTCTTGTTTTTTTCATCCTTAGGAAAATATTTGAATTAAATAATTAAACGGATTTTCGTTGTAATTTTAAAAGAGGGAAATGACCTAGTTTTCTGCAGTGGTACTCTTAATAAAAAATCTGATTTATTATGTGGAAGAAATAGGCGTTTTTCTAGGTTCACAAATGTTTGATTCTGATAATTTCCTGTATTGTCTCCTCTATTGTTAAAAACATGGAAAACTCATTTAGAACTGATTCCTTCTTGATGGTGCAAAGCTTTTAAGGGTACCGTTGTAAATCCAACATAAGACTTAATGAACTGAGGGTTACATAGCCCAAATATTACCCCATGTTGAAATCCAGTAGAAGTTGCTTGAGATTGAGTAGAACCCTCCCCACCTCCTCCTCCTCCTTCTCCTCCTTCTCCACCTTCCTCAGAGCCATATCCACGATACCAATATGCGCTGTAATACATCTTATTTAACTTGTGTTAGTTCTTGTAATAAATATTTCAAGAATTATTTGAAAGAATAATTCACCTATTTTCAAACCCTTGATATCTCTGACCCGGGTACATGTAAGGATACATTCCAATCTAGAGAAGAAATAAATTACAAAAGTGTAAAATAATTTTTATTTTTTCAAACTGTTTTCTAGTTTATTTTCTTTCCTTTTCCGTTTGCCATTAATTTAGTTTTTTTTTAATATTTGGCTTCAATGGCACTTTGCGCCCTTATTTCTAGCAATTACATCATATTTTTGTTGCATATGCACTGATGCACTAATGCAGGCCTTTCTTCTTAGAACATTTTAAAGAAACAATAATCTACATATAAACTTGTCTGTTTGCATCCTAGACGGCTGAACCGATCAGGCCCCAATTTTTTGTGGGTCAAATGACCCCAGTATTGATGGTCAGAATTAAACAAATTTGCTTTAAAAAAAACGTTTTAAAATTCACCAAAAAAAATCGATAAATTCACGAAGTTTTTTTCTTGATGTTTGATAATTTAAGAAGAGAAAATGCCGCATATAGAGATCAACAATCAAAAGTTAAAACCGAAGATGGCTTCAAAGCATCCTAATAACACAAATGTTTCACAAAAGACGCATATTTAATCTTCAGCATTTCTTAAATGGGGAAAAGCTGAAACCACTAATTCATTGAGATAGTAAAAGTTTTTTTTGTGATTTGATTTTAAAACCATTTGTAATTTTTACTGATCTTCATTCACAAACCTTTATCTGTTCAATGATATAAAAGTGATAAATGCGTAAGTTACATTTTGTAGACAAACCAAAACTAAAAAATATCAGTTTTCAAAAACAAAAACATTGATATCTATATCATCCTTGAACAGACAAGGCTCTCAAGGGTGCCGGTGAGCATCCGACGAGCCACTCTATCAATAGAGGCTCACTAAACATTACGTCTCTTTAAACACAATAAAAATGTTTGCATGTTTAAAAAAATAATAAAAATTACACAGTGGGACACAGAGCGTTCTAAAAGCCTAGATATTTATATATATATATATCTTACAATAAATGATCATAGATATAACCTGATGCTGATATGGCCAAGAAGTTGGAGTCTCCTGAAAAACAAATATTTTTAATGAATTTTTCAAAATGTAGAATTAATTTTAATAAAACAGTGGGACCCATAATAAAATGGAAAATAAAGACTATATTTAACCAGTTTTATGTGTATTTTATATTGTTATTATATTGTGTACTGCAGTAGCTTGAAATTCAGTTTATTAAGAAAAACTGTATTGCATGTTCATTGGACTGTTTAAAACTTGACTTGAGTCTAACAGTCGTCTTTTATTTCTTCTGTTTACTAAATATTCAAGCTTTCTCCCATATGTATTTATTTACCTGATGAAAAGCTAATCCTTGAGGAGAGCTTTCTTGTCCTCCTTTACATGTTGTAGTGGCAGGATGATGTAGAGGAACTAGTTGATGATTAGGATGATTCATAGGAACTAGATGATGAATAGGATGGTTTGGAGTTCCAAGGACATGACACGGATTATTTAGATTTAGACCTGGAAAATGAAATTGTTCCTTTAGATTCAGATCTGGAAAATGAAATTGATTATTTAGATTCAAACCTTGAAAAGGAAATAAATTTTTTAGATTCAGACCTGGAAAATGAAATTGATTATAAAGATGCAGACCTGGAAAATGAAATTGATTATAAAGATGCAGACCTGGAAAATGAAATTTATTATTGAGATTCAGACCTGGAACATGAAATGGATTATTTAGATTCAGACCTAGAACATGAAATTGCTTATTTAGATTCAGACCTGGAAAATAAAATTGATAATTTAGATTCACATCCTGGAACATGAAATTGATTTTTTAGATTCAGACCTTGAACATGAAATGGATTATTAAGATAACCTTGAAAATGGCTGATAAAGATGACCTTGTAAATTAGAAGGATGACCGGAAGAACCTGGTGGTTGGGAAGGACCCGGATACCCTGGACCTGTAGATACAGAATTTGATTAAATTCACCACTTGGTGCAATAATTCTAAGAATATTTTTAATAAACATTTCTTTGCCTTTTAAACAGGAAGTAAACAGCCACCAAATATCGTTAGATTCATTTGTATTTGAAGTCCTACCTTGTACAGAGAGAGTATAAGGAGGTCCACATACTAAGTTTGGAGGACCTGGACTAGACTCAACTTCCCCTCCACTTTGGAATATACCACACGGCAATTCTGAGTTGTGTGGTATGGGTTGATTGGATGGAGGGTTGTGTGGTATAGGATGGGTTGAAGGAATGTTGTGTGGTAGAGATTGGGTGGAAGGAAGGTTGTGTGGCATAGGATGGGTGGAAGGAAGGTTGTGTGGTAGAGGTTGAGTGGAAGACGGTTTGAGTGGTAGTGAGTGAGTGGAAGGAGGGTTATATTGTAGAGGTTGAGTGGAAGAAGGTTTGTGTGGTAGAGGTTGAGTGGAATGTGGGTTGTGATGTGGTAGAGGTTGAGTTGAAGGAGGATTGTGTGGTGGAGGTTGAGGAGTGGAAAGAATCATGGGAGAATGTGGCTCAAAATGATTTTCTCTCCCTCTAAATAAAACAAGTTGCAGATTTACCATTTCGAGGTCGGATTCAATATATAAGGAGAAGTATTTCCATATTGCCTGGTTAAACTAATTAAAAATTACGCTTTCTACCACAATAAGGAATTATTTAACTTCTTCTACTAATCTTGATTTAAAGTTCGTTATACCTTTTGTAGTAGGTAATGGAGTGCAGGGCCGCCATGAGCCCACACAATAGTCTCCAAGCTTTTGGATTCGCAGATAAAAATACAGAGGCTTGGAGACCATTTTGCGGGGCTTACAGCGGCCCTGCACCCCCTCCCTTATTGTAGTTCAACAAGTAACTTCCTTTGAGATCAAACCATTTTAAAGCCCAAAAATCTCTTCTCTACCAATTAGTATATGTATATATTCTCGAAAATTGGAATTAGATGTTTTTCATGATTTGTAATTTTTCGTCGCGTATAGATAGATAGATAGATAGCCTTCAGACGTGTTTTTTATTAGCGCTGTCTCATACAAAAGGTTTGACCTTAGCTGGATAAATTAAATCAATTAAATCAATTAAATCAATTAAATCAATTAAATCAATTAAATCAATGTTCCAGGCTTTATAGGCAGAAAAGGTTAAAGAATTTTTAAAAAGTTTTTATCAGAAATATTTCAAAAATATTCATTTCATTTTAAAAATACAGAAATCATAATATCAAAATAAAGCTCAACGAACGGTTTAATATTAGCTAGCTTCGTGGTTTATACATGATTCTATTTCTAACAGGGGGGTTAGACGCCTTCCTTCTTAAGATCAGAATTTTCTTTATCAAAAATTCTTAAGACAAATGTTAAGTTTTTATTTTAAGCATTTCCAATTAAATTGTTCTTTGCTGATTTATATTTTTTACCTAGTCGTTTCTACAGAAATACCACGAGAAAATGACATTATACATTCTAAACAAATTAGATTAAAACAATTTTTTTACCATAGATTTTGTTATTTTTGATTAATTTACCATCTGTATTTTTTTGCGGGTCTCTTGTTTGGTCCATCCCCTTCTAAAAAATTACAAATAAATTTCAAAAATTTTTTAACAACATAAAAATCTTTGTAAAAATGTCTATCTACGAATAAACCTGCAACTCTGTCTTCGAAGGCAATGTTGGTTTTACATCGGCTTCTAGATTTCCAACTTTCGAAACCTTGGCTGCCTTCCCACCCTCGTCATTAATAAAGATCTCAAGGCGGTTGGAAGTATGTTGGAAGGATCTTCCATCTTCTTCAATCATTGCTACACCTCCTTCTCCTGGTCGCATTGCCGTACCACCCTCGCGTGGGTTCATAAGAAGAGTTTTCTTGACTGTTTTCATCAACAATTGATATTGTTAAAGCATCTAAATAAAAAAACAATGTAAGCCAAGCAATACGTAAAATATTTTCAAGTTTATTGATGTAAAGATTTAAGAGAAAATTTACATTTGGATTTTTCCTAAGTTTTGCAATTGCATCATGTTTAAAATCCACATGTTTATGGGTGTGCGTAAACCTAAGATTTATGCTCTGTCTACAGCCGGGGTACAAAACAAATTTACAGCTTTGAGGGGAGGGCTTTGGTGTAAAAGGAGGGGGGGGGGATAGGGTGGATTGGATTTGCATTATTTTTCTTTATTTTCTAATCTGTCTTGTCCTTTTAGAAAAGGACATTTTATCGGTAGAACATTAAAGATAGGATCGATATTACATAGGGGACATTTCATAAGTGCACGGATATTACATAGATAGGACATTATGAAGATGAAACGTTTCATGGATAGGACATTACATAGATATGAAATTTACATACATAGGAAATTACATAGTTATGCCATTTACATAGACAGGACATTATGAAGATGAGACGTTACATGGATAGGACATTACATAGATAGGACATTACATGGATAGGACAAAACATAGAAAGAACATTACTTAGATATAACACTCCATAGATAGAATATTAGATAGATAGGACATTAGATAGATAGAAAAATACATAGATAGGACAGTACAAAGATAGGACAATACATAAATAGGAAAATAAATAGATAGGACAATACATAAATAGGAAATCAAATAGATAGGACAATACATGGATAGGACATTACATAGATAGAACGTTACATAGATATGTAGGTTATTAAGTACAGGCCTACAGGGTGGCCCAACAAAAAAACAGAGATTATTATTTTTAGCCATTTTATTCTTTTAAAAAGAATCGAAAATGTGCCCCGCCCCCAGTTTTTAATTTTAGAAGGGGGTCGTTTAAAATTAACCTTTTGTCGTCCGATCCTGTTGTTCGTGTATGACCAGGTCGAATCGAAAATTTCTCCGTTAATTTCAGCTAATAAATATTGCTTAAGAAATGGAAAAATCATTTTTATAAATCTGAAAATTAACCCAATTTTTCTTAGAAATTATACTTATGTTTATTTAATAAGATTACTTAAGTGTTAATATTTTAAATTATTTCTTGAAGAGGCCCCAATTTAATTCCATTCAAAAAATGGCCTATTTCTAAGGTTCATCAAAGCTGTTTGCAACCTTTCTTTTTTAAATCAGCTCCCCATAGAGTTCCGATTTATAACCACACATAACACTTTGGATTCCAAAAACCCAGAACTAAAATCTAAGTGGATTCAGATTTATATAAATGATTTTTTTTATTTCTGAAACAATATTTGTTGACTGGAGATATAACGGAGAGATTCTCGAATATTCGATATGGTTTTCACCAAACGGAAGGATCGGACGACAAATAATTAATTAAACTAAAACAGTCTAGTACCCCTCTTCTTAAATTATAAACTTTGTACTGGGGCACATTTTCAAGTCTTTTTAAACGAATAAAAGGGCTGAAAAACCCTAATCCCTGTTTTTTTGGACCCCCTTGTAGATAGGACATTACAAAATATAGAACGTTTCAAAAAAAATTACATATTTTAGATAGAATTCCTGTAAACGCCCCTAAACTCACAGCTCACGTATTTTCAAAACGCCATTGATTTCCCACCCCTACCCCCTTCTTGAGAAGTAAAACGCCATTGTCTTATTGCCTAGAAAATGTACTTACTTGCTCTAAAATTGGCACAAATGGAAAATTCAGATATTTTAATTTGAGTGTAAATGAGAAAAAACGTTAGTTTTTCTGTCTAGCTGAATAGGTGGGGGGGGGCAACGACCCTGGAAATTCAGGGGTAATGAGTCTTCAGTGGATCATCAATCACTCTGGATACAAACATGAACAGGGATAAATACAAACCTTCAAATAAAAACTAAAGAAAATGCTTGTCAATTAATATCATTCCATAATTTTCGAATAATTGCTGAAAATTCAAGATTGCAAAAAATAAACCCTTATTTTCTCCATGAAGAGGAACTGTGTAGACAAATATTATAGATTATTGACGCAATATTCATAAACTTTACGCAAACATTAGCGTACATAGCTTACGCAAACATTAGCGTACATAGTTTACGCAAACCTTAGCGTACATAGTTTACGCAGCTGCTGAAATCACTGGCAATCTATGAGTATAAATTTATGCAAACAATTTGAAAAAAATACCCTTTTCAATTGTCATATATAATTGTATATCAAAAATATAATCCTTCAGCGGTTTTTAATCTAAAATATGTTATTTGTGATAAATATAAAAGTAAATATAGATGTAGATAGATATATAGAAAGATAGATAGACATATAGAAAGATAGATAGATAGATAGATAGATAGATA